GCGGAGAGGGGGCTTGCGAGTGCCGGGGTCCCGCAGTCCTCCTTCCCTCTTCTTCCCCAGGGCTGGGGCTGGCTTTCTTCCAGCCCTGAAAGGGATCTGCCTGCAACGGGGAGAGGGCTGGGAGGATCTCAGCGCAGCTCCTCGCGAGGCTGGCTTCCCATTGTGTGTGTGCATTGCAGCTGTAGCGTGGAGCTGCCTGCAGCCTGCGCCTCAAGAAAATGTAGGTTAGCGAAGCATTAGGACCCTAGCCTTGGAGGCAAGATGGGTGCTGGGCCCAGCCTGCCCAGGCACGGCTCAGGCTCCCTTTGCCAGTGCTGTGGGGATCCCCAACCCCTTTCCAGTCTGTGGTGCTGCAGTGGGACCTGGGGTTAGTGTGCTCCCCACCCTGCTTGGCTCAACATCCTCCCCAGCACCACAGAGAGCACTCAAGACAAGCACGTAAGTGGGGAGCTTAGCTGTGCTGCAGCCGGCTGCGGGGAGGACTGTAAGCAGAAGAAGACACTGCCTATTAGGAGAACGTTGGGGCAGGTGTTTGTGTTAGCATTGTGTAATGGCCCCAGCTAAGTGCTTGACCTGGTCTCTGAGGCTGTGCTGGTAAGAGTCAGGAAGGTGAAATGAGCCAAAGGACGCTCGTAGAGACAGCAGAAAAGGATATGAGAGGATTTGCTGTGGGCTGGTCCCTGGCCCCTGCAGTCTGTGGCCCTGAGATGGACCCACTGTGAGTCGATTCCTGTGTGTTTCCTACAGAGCAGCAGGATGGCAGAGAAGGGTATGGATCCCACGTGTGTCTCCATTGCCCTGGAGGACACGGTGTGCCACGCCAGCCCCCCAGATGCTCCACTTCTCACCACCCACTTGAAGAAGGTGGAAAACCACATCACAGAGGCCCAGAGGTTTTCCCACCTCCCGAAGCGCTCGGCCGTCAACGTTGAGTTCATTGACCTGTCCTACTCTGTGCGTGAAGGATCCTGGTGGAGGAAGAGAGGTAGGAGCTGCTGGCTGGGGAAGGGCAGGGGAGGGGACCTACCTGCAGGGCTATTGCCCCCCTCTCCCGTTCTGTATGCCTTGATCTTACCCGGGTCTTCAGTATCTCTCTGTGCTGAATTCATCACTTCTCTGACAATTCCCGCTTCAGGCAGCCCCAGCCTCTGGAAGCACAGCGTGCCTCAGCTCTCTGCCTGCTGGTGGCAGCTTGCCTCCGTGCGTGGCAGGGGGGGTGGAGCCACAGCAGGAGGTGCTGGAGCTGCTTGCCCTGCTGTCCCCTGGGCTGGCTGGTGGTCGGGCTCTCCGGCTCCATGGTCCATTTGAGCACCAAGTGCTGTTTGCAGCCGTGCTGTGGCTGGCTGTCCTTGTGGGACACCCACGGGTGGAGGGCAGGCTCATGTCCCACAGCAGTTGCTGCACATCTCTGTTGTTCAATGCTGGAGGGAAAGCAGATCACATCCTAGGGAAGCCTCTGGCCAGGGTTGCATGGAGGAGATGGGGCAGATTTCCTGGTTCAAGGGCAGCTAGGATGGATTAGTTTCCCCAGGACTGTTGTTTGGGGAATGATGTCTGCGTGCGACGTGCCAACAGCAGGAGACCCCAAGGGGTGCCCCAGCTCAGAGCCTGACAAGGAGAATACGTGTGACTTGCAGGGGATTTCCTGTTCGGTGCCTCCCTGTGCAGCTGAGGCCGTGGTCCCCTTTCCTGTGTGCAACTCTAGCTGAGAGCTCAGGGAGGGGAGAGGGGAGGCAGATGGTGGCTGGTGGGTGGTAGTCTGCTTTAATTAGCTTTCTCAGTTAATGGGATGCCAATCAGGCAGCCCCATGAGGTAGAGGGGGGAGCTGATCTGTAGAAGCTAAAGACAAACAGGGATGAGCAGGGGCCTGGGTTGAGCAGACCTGGGGTGCAGGGCTGCTCAGTGGGGTGCCCTGCCAGCCAGGAGTGCCGGATGAGGCCTCTGGCCCTATCTCCAATCAGGCTCTGCAGCTAGGGAAGTTGAGGCACTGAAAGACAGTGGGACCAGCCCCAACATGCCCCAGGATGAGGTCTGCCTGTTTGTCTGGGATGCTGAGGAAGCATCCCAGGAGGAGCCATGGTACAACCATGGGTTCTCCAGGGCAGAGTGTGCTGTAGCATCCAGGAATTCTGGGGACCGGCTGCTTGCCAGTGGGCTAGTTAGTGCCCTGCAGGGGGGAAGGGGGGAGGGCTCCGGCAGCTGGACTGGAGGGGAGCATGCCGAGGGGTGCTGAGATCCCAGGTGGCAGTGGGAGGGACTCTCCTCTCCCCCAGGCCAGGTGCAGGTGTAGGAGTTGGTGGGGAGCTCGTGGTGTCTTTGGCTGCAACCCCCAGGATCTGGCCAGGCTGCCCTGCTCTGCTGAAGCAGGAGGTTACTGGCAGTCAATGAACGCGAGTAACCGCTGCGCAAGCTGCAGTGGCGCCGACGTGAGCAGCATGCGTGGTGCCGGAGCCATGTGTGTGATGCTGGGATGCGCCGGGGTGGGGGGGGGGGC